CTTCCCTCCCTTCCCCAATAGTATCCCACCCTCTCATTCTTCCCTCCTCTTCCCTCCCTCCTCTTCTCTAATAATATCTCACTCTTTCATTCTTCAACCCCTTCCTCCATGCCAGTCCCCCCCCATCCCCCCACGATCTTGTACCCGCACATGCTATGCTATGCCATGCCTGACCAGGAACAGCACGGCACGGCGCCGGTTCTCAGACATTGGGGGTTTCCGAGGTAGTGAGTGAGTGAGTGTAGAGTACGTACTAGGGCTGGTTAGGTAGGTACTGTCGATGTGAGCTGTTGAGTTGGAGGATGGATGGATGATAGGGGATGAGTTCATTCGTTTGGGAGGGTATATACGACATATCCAAGGAAGAAGGTTCATCTACCCATTGCGCATAGTCTACCATTGCATTTTTTCCTTCACGTACTTATCCATATACTCATCAACGCCCATGTTTTCCAGCCTTTCCTTATCCTTCCCCAGCTCGACCAGCTCTTGCACCTTCTCCGATTCAAAATGTGGCCCCAGGTGCCTTTCGAATTTCTCCAGGATTTCCGGCTTCGCCTCCTCTCGCCTCAGCTTGTGCCCCAATGGCGCCTCCACGACCGACTCTTCGAGCACGGTGCCATCCTCGAGCGTGACGGTGAGGGCGTTGGGTATCGTCCGCATGTTGGGATCGTGGTAGGCTCTGGTGAACTCGGGGTCTTCGACGCAAGAGATGGTCCTCCTCAACTTCTCGACGAGCGGGCTGGTGGCAGCTTCCGAGCCATCGGTATAGTCTGTCGCGTGCAGACGGTTGAAGACGAGCATGGTCGCTACCATGTACTGTATGCAGTGGTCTCTGTCGGCGAAGTTGTCCATGGGTTTGTGTTGTTTGTCAATGATGCGGATGCAAGCTTCGTGGGTGCGGCAGGTGATGGATTTGATGTCTTCCGCGGACTTTCCTTGTTCCGAGAGCTGGGCGTTGATCTTTTTGGCAGCTTCGATGGCGGTTTGGGAGTGGAATTCGGCTGGGTACGGAAACGGTCAGCGTTGCTGCGAGTAGACAGCCGAGGAGGGGATGTACCTGGGTATGAGACTTTGAATAAGATGTTCTCCATCACGTAGCTCCCATACGGCCGCTGGAATTCGAATTTCTTGCCTTTGAAAGCTACATCGTAGAACCCCCATACTGGGGCCGAGAGGACTGTAGGGACACCATGCTCGCCTTTTTGCACTTTCAGTACCAAGTTGACGGCTCTTTGACATGCATCGCCCGCCGCCCAAGACTTTCTCGACATCGTGTTCGGCGAGTGTCGGTATGTCCGCAGGCTCTGCCCGTCAACCCAAGCCTGTGATATGGCATCGGCGGTCTGTCTTTCTGGTAGACCCAGCATCTTCGAGACTACGGCCGCGGTGGCGACCTTGACCAGCACAACATGATCCAACCCAACCTTGTTGTAGGAATTCTCCAGCGCCAAGCATCCTTGTATCTCATGCGCCTTGATCATAGCTTCCAGGACATCCTTGATCTTGACAATGGTCCCGTTCCCAACATGCCCTCCAGCACGATTCGTTCTCGATATCCAGTCTGCCACCGCCAATATCCCTCCCAGATTGTCTGAAGGGTGGCCCCATTCAGCTGCTAGCCAACAGTCATTGTAGTCGAGCCATCGGATCATCGCTCCAATGTTGAAGGCGCCATTGACAGGATCGAGGACGTAGGGGGTACCGGGCACTCGAGTGCCATGTGGGACGATGGTACCTTCAACGATAGGTCCGAGGAGCTTGGTGCATTCTTTGAACCGAAGAGCTTCAAGGCCGCAGCCGATGGTATCGAGGAAAACGTAGCGTGCGGTTTCATACTGTCGAGCGAAGAGAGTCAATGGCGATCCCATTGGAAGACTGGATAGAGGTATTCACATACAGCTAGGTCCGAGTCAACTTTGTAGTTGTGGATATAGCTGGCCATGTCCTTGATCTCTGGATCGAATTCCCTGACGCCGGCCATTGCGGGGGCATTGGACTTGAGAGCGGCCATTGTTGAGAAAGGACTTCTTGAAGAAGAAGTAGGATACGATCTCGAATTCTGTAGCGGATCTGATGGGCTATTCGTCGGTGTCTTTCCACTTAAGCAATGAGAGAAAGATCTCTGCTTTTGCAGCTGCCGAATCGCTGTTCGGTTGACGGTCCTCAGCAAAGAGGACATGTCTGATGCACTAACAGGTCACAATATTGCAATTGACGTTGGAGGAATACAACAAGACCATTGGCGTTCGCATTAGGTTCGCAGGCAAGAGGAGCTGACAAACAGCATCTCCGCTATCGAAATCGTCATATTGCCGGCTCAACCTCGGCACTCGGAATTATGTCGGAAACAAAGACAAAAGACACCGTTAGCACTTCCGTTCACCATCCTTCCTTTTCTCCTTCGAAACCTTTTCATACAATGGCTATCAGTATTAGTACAGATCTGGATTATAGTCGACGCTGATTGAGTCTGCACTTCAGAGATTCTGGCTATCGATCTCTGGTTGGGGCGCCGAAGGAAGAGAGGAACCAAGGATCAACATTCGGTCAGCATCGTTGATACGGTATTCTCGCGGCATGTATTCACATACAGCTTGCCAGGACTTGAAGTCTGGCTATAGTGTCGCGAATGGAGACGCAATCCGCAGAAACAACGTCATACGTAGACCGATGGCAGGATGAGGTAAGCCTACCTGCAAAGTATGCGAGGCATGGCCGCTCAGGCAATCAGAGCATGTCCTGCAGCCAGCTACCTCAAAAATCTCGAGCGCCTGAACCAGAGTGTTATGACATTAAGTACCTACTTAATTTTCAATATGCAACTAGATTGGGCGACCGCAATTTCAGCCCGGAAAGGCTACATGTCAGAACTTTAACTGGAAAAATTATCACAGAACGCCGAGAGCGAAGCATCCTACGCATGTGCCATGTGGGCGAGCTGCCGCCTAAATTATATGTCGACCTTGTCACACATTGGATGGGCATGGGCACGGGCAATCCGGATTGGTTGATTTGCTGACACAGGCGGAGCACAAGATGACCTGATGGAGTACCGAAGCCCGCAATTCGGAGGCCTGTCCTATTTCAAGACAGGAGAAGATATCACTCCGCTGGGGCTCCCTGTGACCTTAAGGTAGCGTCTTCAGCTCGCGAGTTATTTCCTTTCGAGGTAGTAGGCGTCCAGTACCGCTCAGCTCTCCGTTTTCGACTCGACGCGCGAAAATATTCCCTCAACAAATTCGGTGACAAACCTGGTCGGCCAAGCATAGTCAATTGATGCACGTCTCAAAGGCAACAGGGAAACACATCCCACAATCGACGCAGGGTCCCAATGCTCCAATGCAAGCCTAGCCGATGCTTTACGTAATGGGAATCGCAGACTTGCTGGAGTTGCAGTGAGCAACTCGTCCCCCGAAATAGTCATCTGCGGGAAACTTTTCATCTATTGCCCAGCCTGTCAACTGAGGGGCAACAGGCTTTGAATCACGCGGCTCCGTCTCACTCAGAGCCACATTTGTCCGACGTCAGCTTTCATATTCAGGCCAGAATCAGACGAAGCTGAAGTCTTGATGGCGTTCCCAGAAACTTCTAGCCTTGCGAGTTGCCACAGCTAATGTTTTCCCCACACGAACCCGCCCTAGAGAATGGAGCCTCGGTCATCCGGGCCAATGACTGAACCAAAAAGATCTCGATCATGAGGTTTCGTACCACTCGATCCGTATCAACCGTCACCTCTTCTTCCCAGACCAGAATGAGACGGAGCTGAAGGCGGTGTGACCATCTTTTTGAGTACGCAACCAGCAATACTTTCCTTACGCTAGCTGATTTCAGAGAACGAAGCCTCCGTTATCCCAGCAAGTATTCCACGAGCAGCTTCGGGATCGCGAGACCTATCCCAGCCCGGCGGAAACGAGCGTAATTTCCTGTGCTCATGCCAGAAATGTGAACGAACGTAAAAGTTTGGCGCGGGGCGGCCTCTGCAGCTCTGAATAGGACACCAATAATTTCCAGATCCATTAGCCACGTGCGGCCGTAACCAAGATCGAGAAGCAACAAACTGTACAGCCCCAGCTTATTTCACAAGCCTCAATCCAGTCGGTGAGAGGCTGCTGCGCTTCGATGGCTCGCGGACACCAAAATGCGAGACCATACAGACGCAAATTCAGCAATGGTGAAGAGACGGCTGTTTAATGCGTCACCAGAGCGTGGAATACCGAGGTAAGCTTACTAATAGGATCACGAGTAAATCCCACTAGGCCGCTACCTCCGAAATCCTGTTACAAAGTCGTCTAGACAGACTCTCCGGGCGTAGAGACCCATAGGGTGTGACGGATCTGATTTGCTGGTCGGACGAGCCAGAGATGCTGCAAGCTACTTTTGCAAGAGTCAAGCCATGATGATAGTCAGCGAATGAAGCCCGCATACTGTTGGGCTATATGTCAAATTTATAAGATTCTGTTGATCAACATCCTAGATCGATGAAGTCTTCTTTACGATCATCATGGTACAATTAGGTGTGCATGACTTTCAACCAATCTAATCCAACTCTTCTGCATCGTGATGGTCATATGGACTTCTTACGGTCCCGGCTCTATGTGACAGTAAGACGGACCCGGTTTCTAGCCAACTTTCTCGCCAAATCAATTTGACTGCTTATTTCCCGCTCGCATACTGCTCCACAACACATGTGGCGTGAGTCAGCTGCGGGGGATAGAGCCTCCACCATCCAGTCAACATGGGGGACCTCTGTATTTCCAAATTTTTCCTTGCTCAGCCCAGGATCGGACGTCGAACGTCATACTCAGCACAGGCATCAGACGGAGCTAAATGGCCCTTCTGTCATCCCTAAAAGCATATATAAAGCCTCACTCCCTCATTGAGTCCCCCACGATCATCCATCAACAGCAAAGCCTTATTAGTCATCCTCCCCTCAAATATAATCTAGCTAAGATTAACTCGGACCCATAAGGCATCAATTCACCACCCTCAAGCTCAATATGAAATACCAATCAATCATTGCAAGCATCATCGCTTACGCAGCAACAATGTAAATACCCCCACCCACCTCGCTACGCAGCGTCCTTCCGTTCTCTGACATCTTGATTATAGACACAGCTTCGCCCTAGCCCAAGGCGGCTCAATAAACCCAGGGGGGCCAGAACAGCCATGCACCTTCACCGCCACTCCCTGCGCGCCCCCTCCAGGAGGTGACGTTAAGACGAGCACCGTGTACGAGGTGTCGTTCGTTGCTACCGCCACCCAGTCCTTTGATTGCCAAGGTTGCACTGAGGTGACCGTCATTCCGAGAGACTGCTATGGACACGGGCCTGTACGTTTTCCCTTTTTACTTTGGCCTGCTGAGCGAATGGATATCTTTCCTGATGACGGAGTCTAGGTGATTGAAACCACCACCTTTGTGGTTGAGCCTGAGTCAACTACCACTGTGGACGTCTGCAGCCCGACGCCCAATTGATATGATTGAGTAAGGCGTGGGTCTGCGGTGGGCGGCTAGCTTGATTCAGTGCCTTTGCGAAATAGTGTTCCTTATACAGCTGGGCATGGGTGGCTCTTTCGATTCGAATGATGAATTTTAGTACCTTCTTGACCACGGGAGCATCGTTCATGTGTGGTAGCAGCTATCAACAGGGAATTCTCTTTTCAAAAGTGAATAGCTAGCAACCGTTTTCCTTCTGACATTCCCATATAGACTCTTTCAAGTCGCGTCTTTTTGAATATTTCTAAACACAATGGCCTTAATCTCCTGTTTCCTTATAATACAGTGGGTAGTCAGCAATGTCGCTACGGATGTCTTCCGCTAGCGAAAGAAACTTCCTCGGTCTTCAGGAGAGGGCAAAATATCCTGACAATAATCTCAGAAGTAGTTCGAGACTTTTCAACCAAACTTATCACTCGTTCGCACAATACTGAGACATTGCCCCATACACTCACTTCCTCCTCCTTGCCTTTTATCTTTAGTCATGGGACGATTTCGTCCATGATCCTGTGATTTCTCGACTGAGCCCAAAGGAGAGCGGCATCGAGGGTCTTCGGATATCGCGGCTTAGAGTAGGCAGGGTCGGGCAAGAGATCTGGGGAGATCTGGGCGCAGGTCGTATCCAGGACGAGGAAATTGAAGGAGTCTAGGATCTTCGCTCCAATGGTTTCGAATTACGAAAATCTTTCATGGTACCAGCAATGAGACTCCATCCGGATCATTGTGAAGCGCTCGCTCGGTTTCGACTTGGTCAAAATCCCGGGACTACGAAGTCTCACATTATGTGGCGTCAGCCAAAGATTCCAGATATCGCATCTGTTTGTCGCTCACTGATCTGTTGGACCTGGCTGATTGGATGGCAGCTCGAAACTTGGTGACGATGTTGTTGGCTTTCTTGAACTCGTTGCTATGGAACCGACGTTGAACGCTCCGAGTTGTAGATCTCACTGCTTGCTGATACGCAAAGCCATCATCATCATCGCGGAGGCAATAGTCGGCTAACACACGAAGAAACAGCCGGTGGTGTCTCTACTGGGGGGAGTTCTAGGCTTGGTCTTCCGTACTTGATGGGGTTCGTGAAACAGTAGTCTCCATCGACCTTTCCGTGTAAAAGTGAGTCAAGCTGACGGCAGCATTTACCTGACCGGCGAGATCTGTGAAAGATGACCTACCGAGACTGGTCTGACCACGGTCGAGATGAAACGGCTACTTACCTTAGCTCAGTCCGCATGGACATAGTTTCAGTTAGGGATGACTTTTTGCCCGGAAGCTCCCGTAGTCGAGTGGCAATTAGCACCACCCTAGTTCCAGGGCCAGCACCGGTCTCACGTCAGCTGACCCGAAATGGTGCCGGTGAAAGACAAAGTATTCAGTTGTCCAGAAGGTTCGAGGTACCTTTCATATTTCATAGCAGCTGCAATCGGGACATTTTCAGTGTCCACAGGATTTCAAAATGCAAGAATCCCAGGTACCTATCCCAGATGAGTTCCGTTCTGACCTCCATTACGTCGAAGCTCTTGACACACGATCAAACGAGGAGATTCTAGATTCACTGTCCGAGCATGCGCCCGTCACCTCGGAGAAGAATGTATGGACCTACTGGCACTCCGGCGTCCGCTCCATGCCTGCCTGGTGCCAGCGCAATGTCGTGAACTGGGTTCGCCTAAGCGGTCCGTCGTGGTCCATCCGTATCCTCGACAATGTTCCCAGCTCGCCAAACAATGCACTCAACTGGGTCTCTGCAGGACTGCTCCCGGAAACCTTCGTCAAGGGCACCATGGACGGTCCCTATACCGGCCCGCACAGTGCGGATTTTCTGCGTGGCGCGTGTCTTTTCCTTTACGGCGGCGTCTGGATGGATGTCGGTATCATTCTTATTCGTCGGCTTGAGAACATCTGCTGGAGGCAGCTGGAGGACCCTGATTCGCCTTTCGAGGTCTCCGTCCCATGGATGTATGGCACAGTCATGGCAAACCATTTCGTCGCAAGCCGGAAAGGTAATCCATTCATCAAGCGCTGGTCGCAACAGTGGGACTGTGGGTTAGTGGGTCCATTATGAGGCCATAGCGTTGGTGGCTTTTGATCAGCCGTCCTATTACTATGCGATATCCGATATGCGATATCCGACATACGATATACGGGAGACAGAGGGATATGGCGAGTATTATTTGTAGGGCCGCTGCACCTGTAGTGGGCTCTTTATTCGAATTATTCTCTTCAGAGCTATATTATTATTCTTCTTCTTTTTATAGTTAAGTCTATATATATTAGCCTTTATTTAATTATTATAAGTATTATCTAACTATTATAAATATATTTTATACTCTTATATACTTTATAATAGCTTTCGCTACTATTATTAGGTTTAAAAAAGCGATTATATAAGTTATACCCGTCTTTAAAATTATTAAAAAAACCTTTAACGCCGCTAATAAGGCTTTTAAAGTTCTTAAGATTAAAAAGACTATTAAGACTAAAATATCTTTTTCCCGCGATAAGATTCTTATATTAGAAACGCTATCGAGAATTATTATCTTAAATAAGATTAATGAAATATTCTCGCTTATTAAGAGGTTTAAAGTAGATCTTATAAAATTAATAGTCTAGCTATCTAAAGTTTAAGAGAATTAAAATTAGCGCTATTATTATAAGAGTCGAATTTATTATAAGAGTTAAGTTTATAAATTATATTACTATTACTATCGCTATAGTCGTAGTTATTATTATCGTTACTCGAATATATTAAATATAAACTCGTTTAACTCTAAGTCGAATTAGAAGAAAAGAAGAGAAATCTTATTTTATTATTTAAAAGATAAGAAGCCCTTTTTTAGTATTATTAAAAGGTTTTAAAGTATAAATATTAAGTACTTTAAGTAAATCTTCTTCGAAATTTTTAAGATTAAAAACTTCGTTAAGCTAATTTATATATATATTATTTTAATTAAAAAGAATAAGAATATTAATAACTATAATTATATAATATATTATTTTCTTATATACTCGATAATCGCTAGTCGCTTTATTTATATAAGCGTAAAGAAAGACTTAAATAAGATTCTTTATATGTATACTATTCGCCTACTACGTCTATTTCTTATTTATAAATTTAACTTTATTCTCGCTTATTATCTTATCTTTATTATTATATATATTTAGAATAATTAAGATAATCTTAAGATTTAGAAGATAGACGATTAGAGCTATAGAGATCTTCTCGTATTTAAAGAAACTTATACGAATAATAGTAGATTAAATACTAGTACTTTTAGCCTTAATAAGCCCGCTATAGTCGAAGAATCTAGAATTTATAAAAGTTTTAATAGAGGTAACTATTTTCGCGAGCGCTATCTCTACTTATATATCTATTTAATCTATTAATAAAATTACTCGTTAAATAAGTATTTTAAGATCTAAAACTTAGCGATAAATATTTTTAATTAATTATTATTAAATAATTATATTATTAGACTAGAATAACTTTTAGAGTATTCGTAGATACTATAGTCGCTATAGTATATATCTAAGAGATTTCTATATACGCTATATAATCTATTAAATCTAAATTTATCTTATTAAGAATTATTAATAATTAATAATTAATTTAAATAATTAAACGATTACTTAAATCTAATATTTATTAAGACTATTTTAATTATTCTTCGAAAGGGCGTTAAGATAGATTTTTAAAGCTCTATCTTAGTTTATCGTAATTAAAATTATTTATTAGCACGTTAAGCACTTTAAATATTATCGGCGAATCTTTAAAAATAGCTTTAGTAATATTATTTAATCGAGGTTAACTCTTAAAACGAGCTCTATTATATCTATTCGCTATTCGAATTAATATTAAAATACGATAGAGATTAAAGATAAATTTATAATCTCTTATTCTTATATGACTATTTAATTAATAACGATATTTAAGCGAAGTAAGGCGTATTAAAATATATTATATATAATAATATAGTAGTAGTATTATTATAGAAAGGCTTAAGGGTCTAATTTATTAAAAGAGATTTTAAAGACGCTTTTAGATATATATCTATCGCTATATCGAATTAATAGCTACTTAGTTTTAATTGCGATAAACGCTATTAAAAAGAACGATATCTATTATTTAAATTACGTATATTATTATTTCTATTTAATCTCTTTATAAAGGCCTTTATTTAAATCTTAATTACGATTTTTCTATAAAAAGTAATACTTTACTATTTAGACGATTTCTTTATAATTCTTTTATTAGATAATAACGTAACTATATATATCTAGTAATTCGATTAGCTATATAGTAAATTAAGCCTTCGAATTAATTATATAAAAAATATTATAAATTTTATAATTAAGTTTCTAGAAATCGAATTCGATAGTATTTATATAAAAGCGAGATTTCCCTCGAATAAGCTAATTAAGACGAGAATTATAACTAAAAATCTTTTAAAAAGAATAATTATTTTATATTAAAAGCTCGAGTTAGCGATTAGCTTCCTCTTCTTCGCTATAAAAATTATAATTTTAAAAAGAGTATTCTTAAGACGACTTTTTAATATTCTTCGAAGGCCTATGATAATTATATGAATTATAGATAATATAAGAGTAGACTTATTATAATGAGATATCTTCTTAAAGTATTAGAATAATATCGCCTTAATACGCTATATTAATAGTTAAGTTACGTAATATATATAAATTAATATATCTAGAAAATTCGATATAAGAGACTATATTCTTAATTATTCTAATTATATTTAATCGATTTAGCTTAAAGACGTTTTTAGTATTAAGATAGCTATATATTATTATTTTAAAGATATATAATTTAAAAAAATAAAGATTATCTATTACGCGATAAAGCTATAGTTATATTAGTTATAAAAATCTCGCTTAGTTCTCTACTACGATAATAATATATACGTTAATAAATTATATAAATTCTCTATATACGGGCTAGTTATAGCCTTATTACGCGATATAGCTATATTAATAACTATTTATAATATTATAATAATACTTATTTAGATATCTACGAAGGCTAATTAGCTAGTTAATAATCTATTATATTTTTAATCTTAAAAAATCGCTAACGAATATTTATAGCTAAAAGATCTTAAATCTTCGCTAAAATAGGGCGAGATTTATTAGAATATTAATATAATTAGATTATACTATCTAGAGAGACCGTATAACTTCTCTAATAGAGGCTTATTATTAAAATTAAAAAGATATATATAACTTTAATAAGATTCTATATAATCTATTACGCACTTATAGAGATTTAACCTCTCTTTTTAATAACTATAAATACTCTTATCGATTAAATTATTAATTTAAGTACTTATCGCGTTAAGTCGAAATCGATAAAGATATATCTTATCGATCTTAGATTAGCTTATATAAATATAGAATTCGATAATCTCTTAATATTTTATTATTTTTAGTTATAATATATTATTATAAATAATTAACGTCTTTATAGCGAAGCTAATACGAAGAAAAGACGTTTAATTATTAAGAATCTATTACTTTAAATTCTTTCTTATTTCGATAAATTAATCTATATCGAGACGACTCTATATATCTTTTTTTATTTTATCTTCGCGGTATTTCTACGCGTAGGTGAGTTTATTTATAATAAGCGAGATCTTTAATAGAAGGACTTCGGCGAATAGTTTCTTATATATTACTCAATAAGACTATTTAATAATTATTTAAAACTTATACTTTTAACATTTAAAACGAATCTATTTTATCGTAAAATTATATTTATAATAGTTATATTAGACGATAACGTATATATAGTTAAAGTCTTACGTTATCTCTTTAAGTAAGAGGCTTTATCTAATATATCGCTATTTTAGCTAAGAGGTTTCTTCTTTACTAGAAACACCGTTATTAATAACCTCCGCGAGATATTAATATTATTTAATATTAAGAGCTATTATTTAGATTACTTCTTTTATAGAGAGGCTATAATATTAATATATAATATTAATCTTAGTAATAATAAGATCTAATTACTAGATCGTTAAAAGTTAGATTTTTATTATTTATATATTATTATTTATCTAGTCTATATACTTAGAGTATTATTATAATATTAGTATCTTTTAGCCCGTTCGCGTTAGTATTATTAATCTCTATTATTTATTATAATAGATATTATTAAGAGTTCTTCTTAAGATCTTCGCCCTCTTTAAACGACGTTTTAGGTTATTTAAGAGTTTTTCTAGCGCTAAGAGATCTTTTTCGAGGCTATCTACTCAGTCTAGATTGTTACGAGCGTATTCTATATTCTTAATATACTACTTAGTCCTCTTACTTATTCGAGCCTAGCGTGTCTTAATAGAGACATTTATCTACTATTTAATATCTTTCTTCTATCTATATAGTTCGATATCTTAGTTATCTTATTAAATATATCTATATTAATATTATATCTATATCGATTCTAATATAGATATTTAAAAAAGGTTTTAGTTATCTTAGTATTAAATATATCTAATTATATATCTATATATCTACTTATATATACGTTATTTCTATATAATCTTATTATTTACGAGTATTAATCGTAATAGTAGAATTATAAATTAATAGATCTATTATAAGACTATAGCGTTAATAGCTTTTAATTAGTCGTTTTATTACTATATAATATTCGATATGCGATATTCGATATATAATATACGAGAGATAGGGGGATATAGCGAGTACTATTTGTAGGGCCGCTGTACCTATAGTAGGCTCTTTATTCAAATTATTCTCCTTTAGAGCTATATTATTATTCTTCCTCTTACTTATATCTATATATAGCTTTATTTCACTTCAAAGTATATCGCTTAGATATAGGAGTTTTTCTAGCGCTGGGGGGCCTTTTTCGAGGCTATCTGCTTAGTCCAGATATTCAAAAAGGTCTTAGCTACCCCAGTATTGGATATGCCTAATCATATATCTATATATCTACTTGTGCATACGTTATTTCTGTATGGCCTCACTGTTTGCGAGCACTAATAAGTGAACATTCACGTACTTCTCGTTTGCATGAAAATGGTAAAAGGATACGACGAGGTGCATGAAGATTATCAAGGACAGTGCTCAATATGATCTACTATATTCGATGCCTGCCAATCTTCGTCGCTATTCGCTTTCTTCTCCTCTAGCGCTTCTCTCTTCCTTCCATATACTGACATCCCAAGGCATGATCTTTTCGTTCACTTATGGAAGGACCGCACCAACCCCGGTGGTATGACTGAAAATCCTTTGGTCTCGTTCGGCAAGCAAATCAAATTCGAGGACTCACAGGCGATGAAATACCATTGGGAGTTTAAGGTCGAACCCCGCACGGTCATGGAATACATCGGGCAGGTTCTGGCCTGGCTGCGACTGTGCATGCTCGAAGATCCGAACGACGGCTTCAACGGCACGGAGTACTACGAGGACAAAGTCCTGCTGTTCGACTCACTGTCCGAGGACTGGGGCGCGGAAGCAACTATTGGTTTCTCGGGGCAGGACCTTTTCAACGTGCTGACGACGAGATGCGATGCAATTTCAGAATCAGAGGATTACCAGGCGGCACATAAAACCATTTGGAGGCTGCTGACGCAATCAAGTATGCAGAAGATTACGCATGGGAAGAATTTAACCAAGGGACTCGCGCTGGGCGTTCTGTGGGATATGGAAGAGAACCAGGGGAAGGATGTAGCGCCCGGGACGTTTGCAGAATTGCTCCGGTACGGTAGTGTGCATTTTGAGCAAGAACGGGAGGAAATTAGGTACGTCAAGGCTCAAAGGCCGGAGCATACCATCAAAAAGGGGCTACTAGAGCCTTAGGTCAGTTGTACTCCTACGATCGCCGAGTATGACCGTTCTTTGCAAACATTCTCATTATCGCTATACAATGTAGCCGTCAATTCAGTATGGGATCCGTCAAAAGTCTCGATAGGATGTGGGTAAGTCACGGTAAAGAACCTATAGCATTTCGCTTAAAAGAGCTCTAGAGGTTATACATCACCTTTGATCCCTTCTTACTTGCTTTCTAAGGAGGAGGCTACTCGGTTCCCACAGCGGTATCAGGTTGTGGCGACGGCTCGAACTTCACTCGCTATTTAGTGACACTAGGGCTGGCAATGATGGGCCAACTAACTGGTTTACTACCAGTGGTACCGTAAGTCTCTCGTAGTTGATGGTGCAGTTTGAGGTCTACCGATTGGTGGTTGGTGTAGTTCTAACCTCAAAACCAACTGATTCAACTGACAAGGAAGTAGTTTATAAATAAAAATTAAGAAGTCGAGTTTTAAGTTAAAAGAGCTAGGTAATAGGCTAACATTTATAGGGCTGAAGTAGGGCTCATAGGGCTGATAAGGCTTGACACTTGATATATTGATCCCTCACTAAGCGATATTTTATCGTTTATTACAACTACTCCACTATCAGTTACACTGATGATGGGGTAATTGGTTTTCAATATATAGTAGTTGGTGCAGTTTCGATTTCCAAATCTAGTAATTGGTGCAGTTTGCCCTCCAAAACCAACTATTTCCACCGTTGCCAGCCCTGAACTGTGACACTGTGCCTTTGTTCTCGGGAGTCATACTTTCGTAGCGAGAGCAATCGGATGAAGTTCTCTTTGCACACTCTGGTGCAGCCTTTGTTCACTTGTGCTACTGTCATTGGCACTGTGCGCTCTATTGTGTTGTTGTATGGCGCACGTGTCCTCTCGTGTCTTTCACGCAGGCACGGGAACCTCAAAAATCTTTATGACACAAACCTCCATGTCTCGCTTTTATTTCACTACTCGAATTGGGACCTTTACACAATGGCCATTGTTTTTGCTATTTCACATGGGCGAAGAATTCCTAAGCTTTAGTCAAATTCAATTTATCTTTCTCATATCCACTGACTTCTAACACTCTTCATATCATCATTGCCCAGCCAACTTCTCCAACTCTAGGACACTCACCGTTTCCGACTTCTTCATTTGAGCAGCCTCAACACCCTCTTCGAAACCATGAAGTCCCCTCCAAGGAGCGGAAGCTCTGGCAGCTCCACAGCTAGCAAGAAAGCCGCGTCGCATCCTACCGATTCCGGGGTAAAGAAACAATCAGCAAGAACGGAGACTTCAGGTGGGGTTTGTAAAGCAACAAAGGGGGAAATTCCGGGGGGAGACAAGAAATGGCAGACATTTTTCGGTTCCACCCGCGAGATCAGTGCTGATGATGAGACAGTACGAGCACAGCTTTTTGACGTTCTGAAAGAAGAAGATTCCAAGAAGGAGGCCGATAAAAGCTCCTCTGAGGATGCCGACGCAAGCTCCTCTAGGGCTGTCGGTAGGTGTTCTAAATACAATGTGAATAGGCTGATGGCGCAGATCTACCAGGATCTGTACACTGTCGCGGCCGCTCAAGCCTCAAAAGCCGCTTCTGGAGAAACTCAGACCGATAGACTTTCTCTCGAAGAGCTCGGTGGGATTGATCCCGCACTTCGAAAAGTATCAGATGGTGTGGGTACGGCTATAAGTAGGTCAGGGCACTCGATTCTACATATACAATTGCTAATTCATCGACAGAAGCCGTGCTCGCCTACCAACGCAACCCTGCAAGCCCCGAATCCAGCAGGATTTGGCAACACGGCGATAACACGGTCAGAAGTTCATCTTTTGACGGTCCCGTCTGCGAGCGATGCAGCAAGCTGGCGTCTCGTCACGACTGGACGCTACTAGGCATACTAGCCCACTCCGTCACCTTCCAAGACGCGATAACCCTCCTCGACGCAGAAGCCTGGAACGTAATCTCCACCAGCATCGCCGAGAACGCCGTGAGCCTCACGGTCTTCGCGCAAGGGCACAGCCTAGAATGGTGGACGGAGCTAATCCGCCTAAACGGCCTCTCCCCTCCCTTCCTCCCCCAGGACTTCGAACGCCACCTCCCCAGCGAGCCACGGGACGAAGTGCACCCGCACAAATGGGTCGTCACCGACAATCTCTCCGATGTCCACCCTCCCCACTTCGAAGGCGAGCCGCAAATCAACATCCACACCAACATCTACCGCGCCGCTTCCTTCACCAACAGCCCTCGCCCGCCCAGCTGGCCCGCCGACCGCCCCTACCCCTCCGACCCCACCCGCGTCCGCGACCCGAGCCCCCACCCCTGCCCGACCAGCGGCTCCCACGCCCCCTGCGCCTGCCTCTTCCACGCCCGGACCTGGCACCCGCTCACCGAGCTCCGCGCCTACGGCCCCAAAGGCGTCGGCGTGCGCGCCCTCGAGCGCATCCCCGCCGGCGCCATCCTGGGCGAGTACGTCGGCGAGGTGCACCCGGCGGCCTACGCCGTGGATCCGACCTACACGCTCGACTTCAGCGAACCGGGCCGGCGAACCGACGAGGTGATCGCGAAGATCAGCGCGGGGCGGTTCGGGAACTGGACGCGCTTTGTCAACCACTCGTGCGAGGCGTCGACGAGGTTTGCGTCGGTGACGTTGGGGGGCCGGCATCGGACTGTGGTGCAGGCGGTGAGGGATATCGAGGTGTTTGAGGAGCTGACGGTGGATTATGGGGTTGGGTATTGGCGGGATCGGGTGTGTGAGTGTGGGGCGGAAGGGTGTGTTTCGCGGATGAAGAGGCCGGAGACGGAGGAAGGGGAGGGGCGACGGCGCTGGGTCTGGGGATCTTGCTGTTTATGACGATCAAGCGAAGGGGAAGGGGGGTTGAAGCGACCGGTTTTTTTGATGGATTAGGGGTCGGAGAAGCGAGAGTGGAGCTACGCAAGTGGGGATTTTGATGATTGTGAAGCTACCGGTTTTTATTTGAAAAGAAGGGGCTGCAAATCCAATGATGAGCTCTGTATGCGTGACGGAGCTGGCTCTCTCAAGATCCCTTTGAGCGAAGTGATAAGTGTAAAGGATGGCACGAGTGGTGAGATTCGAAAAAGCAATATCTTGTGTGCATAAACAGACAAGACAAGGCGAGTACCCCATCCAATAACATCAATCATATGACGACAATCAATCAAGAAACCAATCCTCTCCAAACAAACCATCTCTCATTCCAGATCTGCGGCCTACACCAAACGCCGATCCAAACACCCGTGACGTTCGTTCTCCACGCGCCGAGTCCTCGAGTCCGAGGCCGGTACTTCTACCGCAGACTCCTGACTGGCAGCCAGACCCTCGCCGAAATCCTAGCCGACGAGAGATATAGGCGTGGGTAGATCTTACCTACTCCGCACAGACGCGCCGAGTGGGCCAAACCCGTGAAGAGAAGAAGGTCGGTCGCTTATGCGCAAACGGAATTCTGGCGACGGAACAGAGTGGAGTGAAAACATCACGACATCGGGCACTGGATGTAGAGTATGTTCCTTGCGAGGAATAGGAATACATACGCCGAGAGAAGATGTATCCAACGTGTGCGCGCACGTCCTTCTCATTACTCCTGCTCAGCAGTGCCGCTCTCGCAGTAGCATCAGCCGCGGTTCTTGCCCCTGCGGAACCCAGGAGCTCAATCTCGGACGGCATTCTCCAGCGACAGGACTCGACGCCACGGACACCACCGCCGCCGCTACTGGACGCCACCCCGACCGCCCTTCACACAACCGTCTCCCTCCCCACCACCGTCCCCATACCCGGCACGGACATCTCCCTCCGCATCGCGCACGTTGGCGAAAGCTGGTTCGCGGCCTGGCTCGTCGAAGCGCTCTGTTCGGGCGCGCACGCCGCGATCCGGGACGAGCGTCGCCTGGCGTCCGGACGAGGCCGTCGCGCCGCTGCCGTGATTCCACAGCTTGTACAGCCAGCGGTGGCGGGACACGATTGCGGTATGTATCCGGGGCAACGAGGGCAAGGTGTTCACGTGGCTGCAGTTGGAGTGGGTGTTGGATGGGTTGTTGGGGTTTATGGAGGGGGGCGAACCGGGGCGGTTGCATCCGGCGAATTTCGAGGTTGATGTGGTCGAGCAGGGGACCGTGGCCGCGGGGGTGTTGTGGTATTCGCAGAGTCCGCCTCCTGGGGCGGTGGGGAGGAGAGACCGAAGTTGGGAGGAGCGATGAGATCGGCGTGGACGCTAGCGTTCGTGGGATCGGAGGTTGTGGGTTGTTGCAGAGGGGGACTCACTGCCGCGGCGCCATCGATGAGCGAGCGCGATGGATGGACGACAAGCGTTGGAGGTTGAGGATGCGCATAGCCGATACATGCCATAGCGTATGCAACTGAATACAATACCCGTCAAAGGCCCGCTGGACCCGAGCAAAGTTCAAAAGACATTCAGCATGCCCCTAGCTTTCAGGACAGCTCTAGCAAGTATCCACCTCGTGATACAAAGCCTAACCCTCCTCATCTCTACGACCGCAACTCCGATTGCGAACACCACAACCCCTATTCACACCCTCCCCAGCAACAACATCGGCACCCAATGCACCGAAGCGCGCACATGGGTCGCAAACGGGTTCTACCGTAGAGACTGTCTCGCCATCACCAACTACATCTACAACAACGAAGTCCGCCCGCGCGAAAGCGAGCGGTTCGAATTCACGTCCCTGAGCGCTACGACCACGAGGACGGATTTGCCCAAGAAAATGACGCCGAGGATGTACGAGTATGGGACCTGCGTGGTCACGATAGCCATGATGGATCGATTCCAACCCAGGGAACTGCCCGGGTCGGATTTCAGGGAAAGGTATGAGGAGACGGATGTGGCGACGTTTGATGCGATGTGGCATGCGGCGATGAAGGTTGATTTTGAGTGTGTGCGGCATGGGAAGGCGGGATGGGTTGCTGCGGGTGAGTGATGTTTCGATGAAGGATAGGGAATCTTCTTCTATTGGTTTTTGGGCGGACGGAATAGAGGGCATGAAACCTGTGGTGTCGTTTTTCTTTTTGAATACCGAAGGACTCGACACTGACCTTGGAATGCTGCTAGGGGACCAGGGAAGCATTGGAATTCTCATCATGACGAGTGGCTCGGCGGAGGACAGGACTATCCCGGACGGCCCACCCACTGTTGCAGGAGCGATTTTGGCGCCTTCGGGCTTCATTACTTTGCCTAATAGTACCCAAGGTTGATTGAGTCTAGCGGTAAGTAGCAATCGTAAGGAAGGGAGTCGAGACAGCGGGAATTCACATAAGAAAAGATACCAAGCATTTTCGACGGTATCGCCATGCAGATGATTTCTTTTCTTCTGATGGTATCCCCTCTTCCCACATAAAATTTCTTCTTAATTACGCTCCAAGCCTGGATGCTTGGGACCGTTTCTGTTGCTTGGGCGCAGGGCAGAATCATTCAACAACACTGCTATTATTATTATAGATCCCAAAATGAAAAAAAAATGAAGCTATACTGAAGTCTTGGGATGTTCCTTAGCCTCTCAATCGCCATACCTCTCCCTCTTGATACTTCTACTCAGGCGAAGGCCGAGCATCTTCTCTACTCTTACTGGAGGCCTTCGCAAGTAGTCAAAGGGATCCGCTATTCTCTTGGTACTGTTTGTAGTTGTATAGCTTCAAAACTGACTAAATGCGACTATTTGCGATGTGGCTACTGGATTTAAAATAATTTTGCGGAGAGATGTCTATGCTACAGCACGAATTTGGGTGTGTGGTGTGAAAAATCTCCGGTGCCAAGCATTCCAGACGGTTTTGAATACGCTAAATCGACGATCGATGCCGTGATCTACACTAACCGCATTCGGACGCTCCGAGCTTCCAGACGGCCGGAAACGGCAAATTTGATCGTTAACCCTTTGCATTACTTTAGCTCTTACAACACAAGGACTTTGCGTAGTCTTACCTGTAGAGGATTGTTTTTCCTGCCGAATTTGTTCGGCTGAAATTTGCACAGTGCCTGGCCAACATGTGCTTGGAGAGTAAAGGCAGTCGAAGGACAGAATCATCCTCATGAAAGACAAAGTACCAGTGCCACGAATGGGTGAGACGACTGAGAGGAGTGAAAGTGTCCATTATTTAACCCTAATGATGAAAAGCCGGAAGCAGTCCAGCCCAAGACGATCTGTGGCTGAGACTTTACGCCTACAACAAAGAAGCTTTGTAGCTAAATTTCCCGTAAATTTGGGGGCGTCGAAAAAGCCAATAATTTTCCGGTAAATCTTCCGACTTGTGTTTGTTGATAGAAAAGATCCAAAAGAGTGTGGGGATGGAGAGTGCCGGCGCGTCCAGCTTCTCGAGATGACGCCATGCTTGGATGATGTTTCTAACATATGTCCCCACGTTCGCTGCATCCATAATTCTTCCTTGCATCCTAGCACTCACCCCCAATAAACCGTCTCCTTCACCATGAACACCGCCGCACCCATCACCGCCCCTGTAGACGGGCCGGTGCGCCGACTTCTCCGTACCCTTCCTCCCACAACCCGTGGGCACACCGTCGCCGTCATCGGTGAATTCGTCGGCACCATCTCTTTCCTCTTCTTCGCTTTTGCTGGCACCCAGTAGGTGTCATCCGATTCATCCCTTGCTCTGTCTTTACCGCCATATTACTCCCAAAATGCCTTCTGGAGCACATTTCACCTTATACCGTCAGAGCATGTCTGACGAGTCACACGACAGTCAAAAGAAGGAGACGCTGATTTCTGGGGACTGCTGCAGAGTCGCCAATATTTCTTCCAACACCAACACAGGGACTACAGTCATTACACAAGTCGCGCAGAAGAACCCTTCCGAGTTACTGTATATAAGTTTGTGCTTCGGTTTCTCGCTGGCCGTCAATGCATGGGTCTTCTTTAGGATCAGCGGAGGCTTGTTCAATCCAGCTGTGGGTGATCAAAGTCCCATGGAGTTGGCCTGCGCCGCGAGCTTGCAGTATTCCAGGCCAAGGCTAACATACCCAGGTAACGGTCGGCATGGTTCTCATCGGCGCCATCTCACTCGTTCGCGGCATTCTCCTCTTTGTCATCCAAATCGTCGCGGGCATAGTCGCGGCATATATCGTACAGGCGTTATTCCAAGGCGAACTTGCGGTCTCAACCACGCTTGGAGGCGGAACCACAATCGCCCAGGGCGTCATTATAGAGATGATTCTGACCGCGCAACTCGTCTTCACGATATTCATGCTGGCAGCAGAAAAGCACCAGGGGAACTTCATCGCGCCAGTAGGGATCGGATTGAGTCTTTTCATCGCCGAGCTCGTAGGTGAGTCTCTACCGATTCCTGAGCCGGGAGTACTCCAATCCCGCTACTTTCCAGCCCCAGACGCCCCATTTCATCACAAGTGAATACCGCTAACATCCACCCCCAGGCGTCTTCTGGACCGGCGGCTCCCTCAACCCCGCTCGCTCCTTCGGTCCCGCCGTCGCCAGCCACACCTTCTACACCACGCAATGGATTTACTGGGTTGGCCCCATCTGCGGCTCTCTTTTCGCACTCCTGCTCTATAAGCTTATAAAAGCGCTTGAGTACGAGAGTGCGAATCGGGATCCGGAGTTAGGGCCTTCGGCCGGGAACATGAAGAAACTCTTGAACGGAAATGGCAATGTTCATGGTAATGGAAACGGAAATGGAAATGGCAGGGTCTTGTCTCCGGTAGGATGAGGCGTTCACGGTTTATGGAAAAACGGTTGGGTAACGGCAGTGTTGGTTGTAATTGCGGTGATTCTATGTACATACCTTCCTCCAAATCACTGAAATTCAGACCACCGTCCGCTTTCCAACATCTCGGTGGGTGAAACCCGCCACCAGAGTTTGAGATACAATTAAGAAAATGGTTCAATCTGCCAAGTGTCGAGATAAGGTTCCCAGCCTCCTCAACACCTAGTCAGAACCGTATCTAATTCGTAATAGGGTCGATTCCTATTGGTACAAAGTAAAATAAGAGAATCCAATTCTGCCAAGTGTCGAGATAAGGTTCCCAGCCTTTCCAAAAACAGCTTTTTTCATTTGGCCTATCCCAGCCACCTGTGGGAACAACCTACCCATAAAATTTAGTTCAGAGGGTATCTAATTCGTAATGAGTTCAATTCCTATTGGCGCTGGTACAATGGTCTAGCGGTCTGGCGATTAGAAGCGGCTTCAGTGCGTGCGAAGTAAATCGTGACGACTACATAGTTAAATTGTCACGACTACATAGTGACACCTAAAAAGACAGTTACTTTCGAGAATGAAGTCTTGGCATGCGACCTGCGGAAAGTGCGTCTCGTACATGAAGAAGACTAATTTTCACTATCAATCATGAGGTGAGTATGGTCATTAAATTCGTTAAGTTCTATCTACCAAACGAAAGTGCTAAGTGCTTGCTCCGCCAAGTAGAAGTCATTTAGCGTATTCAAACCCCTCTGGAATGCTTGACAAATTCGTACTGTAGCATAGGAAGTCGAGAGCGCCGTGGTCATTTCCCGCGTGAACGAGGTCCATAATCATCAGGTCAATCTCTTCGCCCTGCCAGAGTTCGATTGTGCCGACTCGGATGTTCTGCAGTCCAGCCTTCAACAATGCCCTACGCGTCTCTCGTCGCTGGCCAGAGTACGGACATGCGATGCCGAAGTGGGGAGACCTCAGTCTCTTTACCCAACAGCTTCTTGATCGAACCGTTAATGAAGGAAGTATTGCATACGTTGACTTGAGAACTTCCATTCATCTCTTCTAGGCATGTCCCTCTAACATCAAGAATATTGGCTACGTAAGCCCGTCCGGCTCCGAGGTAAGCTCTGGTAGGATCCTCCCAAGTACAGATCGAAGAGCTTTGGAAAACATCCGCTGAGAATCATCAGGGAGGCGCCAGGATCACAGACGAGTTTCGAGTCAAAGAAGAGTTCGTTGGGAATGGCTTGCAAGCTGACCACTGTTATCGCTGTTTTCTTCATATGACTCTGTATTTGACGGGGCCCCCTTGTGAGACTCGCCGCGGACCCTTGTATATCGCCAGAAGTTGTAGCTCAAGGGACGTTTGGAACCCGGCTTGGTCCTTGGAACTTTATCCTCACCCTCTTTTGGCTTCCTCAGTCCTTCGCTCTCAGTCCACAGGTCGCTTCCCAAGCTCACGTTAGTCGTCCCATTCATGAAAAACACGCATCAATGCACGTATATGGGCCCACGTAGAGTGTAGATAGTGGTTGGGCCGTCTCACGCCGGGGATAGCAAGCCTGAATAGGCCTAAATAGAGGCCTAACAGGCATATTTCTCGTACCCCAGCGCAAGAAAACTCCCATGCCTATGGCATAGATCTGAAGTGGAATGATAGCTAGCTATGTGCGGGTATGAATGGGTGGGATAAAAAGTATGCAATGGCTCTGGAAGAGACGAAATCGAATGAAGAGCCATTGACAGGTGCAAAACAGGTGGCTATATAGCTCGTACTGGACACCTATCCCCTACCCCTTACAGGGGTACCGACAGGGCTATGAAACAGGGGCGTGTCATGTGACCCACTAACCCCCAGTCCCACTGTGGCGAATGATTTTCTTCAGTCTCTCGATGCTCTTTGCGGTGACTGTTGTCGTCCATCTGACGCTGTTGATGTTCATGATCTAGCCAAGACTCGACTTTCAGCCCTTGTAATAAATTGACTGCTCTTCGAGAGGTATTTTGAAAAAATCTTGCTTTCAATTCAGCGAGACGCTTTGAGCTGAACATACTTACTCTCTAACGCTCTTTTTGAGTAGATACGGAGGGTAGATAGAGAAGAGCGTGCCATGATTGCTGTATAATTGAATATCGATGGGAGTTGTAGTGGAAGAAACAATGAGTACGGCGCAGAAGCTTACGCGCAATGCAAATACATAGAAAACGTATACACAGAGCTTCAAACCAGGTGTCGGTGGCGCAGCATGGTCTCTGCGCAGTCTATTTTGCCATCTGATGCTCCCACTGGATATACTCTCTGTTGCGACTGTGGCAGTCTTGATTGCGTCAGGTTAGATTCTGCCTATTCGATACATGCGTCACGGTCAAGATCTTTTGGCTCGCTGGAATGCCATTCAGCAATGTACAACTTGCATGAAGTGGTAGGGTGTCACAAAAAAGGATTCTTGGATGGAAAGACCTGCGTGGAATGAACGAATGAGAACCATGTGGATCATGAAAGCGCTGAAGCCGCCATTAGTGATAATGATGTT